AAAAAAAAAAACCCACAAAGAGAATGTAGGATCAGGAACTGTCACCAAGCAGTGCTATGGTTCCTGCTTCTTCCCCCAGGAGAGGGTGTGAGGGGGTAAGTCCACCTACCTGTCCGTTGACAGGCTCGATCTGCTGCAGGGTGGCCAGCACAAAAACTGCTGTCTTGCCCATTCCGGACTTGGCCTGGCACAGGACGTCCATGCCCAGGATGGCCTGTGGAATGCACTCGTGTTGGACTGCAAGAGAAAGAGAGTGTGAGCAACCAGGAACTTGGATGCACCCTCTGTGTGGGCTCCTCCCCAGGGGGTGGGGATCAATTCAGGGATACTCAGAAGAGGCTAACTCTGGGACTGGGCCATTGACATCTGCTGGGCTAGGGTGTTTGCCTGGTCAAAGTCCAATGCCATGCCACCATAGGCCCACAATGGGCACCCTGACTCATTGGGCGGGCAAGCACCTCCCTCACCCAGGGCAGACGAGAGACAGCATGGTAGCCACAGCTGGTCTTGGTAAGAGGACATGGGCAGAGGTGGGGTGGGGGGACAACCAGGGAGGCGTACCCTCTGATGGATGCTCAAAGCCACAGTCCACAATGGCCCTCAGGAGCTCTGGCTTCAGCAGAAAGTCCCGGAAGCCAGAGCTATGGATGGAAACGTAGGATCCCTTGACGTCTTTTTTAGGGGGAGCTGGAGTGCTCTCCGGAGGAGCCTGGGGTTCTTCATCTTCCTCATAATCCAAAAGTTCATTTTCTACATCCTGCTCTGCCATGATGCTGAGAATAGAGGACAGAAAAGCCCGGCATGCAGGCACAGGAAGCTGATGCTGTGGCTCCACACACTCTGGTCTCTTCCCCTCAGCTCTACCTGTAGCAATCCCCACCCTGCTCCACCACCTCACCACCAACACCCTCCACCTCCACTCATGGCTCTCAATTTCTCACCACAGCCCTCAACCTTCCCAGCTTGGCCTCTGTCCACCTTAGCCTTGTTTAACTGCTGAGACTCATGGAGCCCCACCCCAAGCATCTGAACCCCACTGCCACCACCAGGCATGTTCTGCTCCCAGGTCTTTACACAAATGTCTCCTTTTCAACATGCAAGTCTCAGTTGTAATGAACATCCTCAGACCGTGAGCCCAAAAGATATTCCTCCCCATCACTCCCCAAGAACCCAGAGACTAGGAGGTATGGCTGCCAGGATGTTGAAGAGAACTGAGTTTGTGATGAAACAAGTGGTGTCTGCCCACCCATCCTCTCCTGCTATCTATGGTTTACTCAGGGGAATAATTAAGTGCTCTTATAAAAGCCTCCCATTGGGCCTAAGCCAATAAAATAATGCTAGGATGCTAAATGGAAATAATGCAAATAAAGCCCGCTCACCTTCTGGCTTTATTTAATCCAATGCACACCAAATGCCTGCTGGGTGCAGAGACTCAAAGGTGAGGACACTTGTCTTTTGTCCTCTATCCCCAACCCCAGTCTCTGGTCTAGGGGGCAGAAGGGCTAAAGCTACCCTCTGAGTGTCCTGGGCTTGATTTCTGACCCATTCTCTGTTGACTTCATCCAGACCCAGGCCTAAATCATCTCTAAGCTGTTGCCTCCCAAAGTGGAGTCTCTAGACCCAGTTACCAGCTGCCTCCTCGCACATCCTTGGGGGACCTTGGAAGGTGAATTCAAAATGCCGGCTTCCCATACCTCAGACACAGCAGTTCCATTCTGATCTCTGTATAGTTTATTTTTATTTTTTAATTGCGGGGGCAGCCCCATAGGAGATGCCATTTTTGGCAGGATGCAGCTCATCTCCCCCAAAGTCATTCTGTTCACTCAATAGCTCTATATTCTATTTTTTTTTTTTTTTTGAGATGAAGTCTTACCCCATCACCTTGGGCAAAATACTGTGTTGTCATCATAGCTCACAGCAAACTCAAACTCAAAATCCTGGGCTCAGGCAGTCCATCCACCTTGTCCTTCTAGAGGGTTAGGATTACAGGTGTGAGCCACCATGCCTGGCCTGTATTCTCTCTTTTCAATATCCCTGTTCATTAGCCAGTGAATCTCATAAAGTCCCTATGGCTACTTCTCACCCATGCTACCATGCTGGCCCCATGCTGCCATCACTGACTTCCTTTATTTAAAAAATCTAGAACAGGGCTCAGCACTTGTAGCACAGTGGTTATAGTGCCAGCCACATATACTGAGGCTGGTGGGTTTGAAACTGGCCTGAGCCAGCTAAACAATGACAAGTGTAACAAAAAATAGCCGGGTGTTGTGGTGGGCATCTGTAGTTCCAGCTACTTGGGAGGCTGAGGCAAGAGAATCACTTCAGCCCAGGAGCTAGAGGTTGCTGTGAGCTGTGATGCCACGGCACTCTACTTAGTGTCTAAAAAAAAAAAAAAAAAATCTAGAATCTGCCAGGCCCAGTGGCTCACATCTCTAATCCTAGCACCTGGGAGGCCAAGGCAGGTGGACTGCTTAAGCTCATGAGTTTGAGACCAGACTGAGCCTGAGACCCCATTTCTAAAAAAACAGTCTGGAGTTGTGGTGGGCACAGCACAACATAGTCCCAGCGACTTGGGAGGCTGTGGCAAAAAGATCATTTGAGTCCAAGAGTTTGAGGTTGCTGTAAGATATGATGCCACGCTACCCTCCCAAGGGTGACAGAGTGAAACTACCTTACAAACAAACAAAAAACTAGAATAGTTTTACTGATATTCACATACTATACAACTCACCACTTAAAAGTATACAATTCTGTGGGTTTTGATATATAGTCACAAACATGTACAATCATTACTGCAGTCAGATTTAGAATATTCCATCACTGCAAAATAAATATGAGCCCCTGTACCCTTTATTCATCATTCCCCATTCCCCTCACCTTGGCAAGCTCTAGTCTACTTTGTTTCTATGGACTGGCTTATAGAAAATCTTGGGTATTACAAAGGAAATAGAGGGGGAAAACAAAAGAAAAAAAATCCTGGACATTTCACATAAATGGTATTTTATAATATGTGGTTTTTTCTATCTAGCTTCTTTCACTCAGCATATTTTCAAGGTTCAACTACATGAGCACAAGTCAGAACTTCACTCCTTTTATGCTCACCTAGTATTCCATCGTACAAGTACACCCCATTTTGCTTGTCAGTTGGACTTTTGGCACCATCATCCCTTGCCTGGATTAAGCCAATATAGCCTCCTCACTGGTCTGTTACCACACCCCATCTTCTCTCACAGCAGCCAGAGGGAAACTACAAAAGCTAAGTCAGAGCGTATTACTGTTCTTCCCAAAACCCTCCATGGGCTCCAACTGTGCTCAGAATAAAACTTTTAAGGGCTGCTCTGCACCTGTAGCTCAGCGGCTAGAGCGCCAGCCTCATACACCAGAGCTGGCAGGTTTGAACCTAGCTGAGGCAGGAGAATCGCTTAAGCCCAAGAGTTGGAGGTTGCTGTGACGCCACTGAAGGTGAAATAGTGAGACTGTCTCCAAAAAAAAAAAAAAACTCTTTTAAGGCCACCTTTGCTCTAGAAGGGCACTTCCTGACAGCCCCAACTGAAGAAACACCCCTCCAGTCAGCCCTGCCCTGTAACTAGAACAGGGCCCAGCACACAGCAGATAAGCACTCCATAGGAACTGCTGAATGAATGGAACTAGAATCAAGACCTTCAGCCAGAGTTTAGCATGTCTCTTTATATAACTCTGGAAACAGGCCATCATACTGACCAAGAGGATCCAGACAGGCAAAGATAGGAGAGGGTCATTTCCCAAGCTGCAAGGAAACAAGAGCCAAAGATCAGCCCCCCAAAACACCAGACCCTTTCCAGGTGTGAAGAATAGAAATCACTAGTTGAAGCAGAAGACAAAAGCTGGAAGAGCTGGTCAGACCCACGGCATGTGTACTTAATTTGCTAAACAATAGGGAATCGCTGAATAAGTTTCTCAGTCTAGTGACTCAATCTGGATTTACCCAAGAGTAGTGTAATGTATTCCACAGATGGAATGGAAGATTAAGACCAAAACCAACAGCAGGGAAAACCAGTTACTAAATTAAGAATAAACAGGATGGCGGACGCTAAGTAGGAAAGGAGAGGGTAGAACACTCCACGCGGCTGGGCCATCCCCCTAGGGCACCTATGGGTAGATAGAAAACAACGCAAATCATCTATTCGGTACTCTAAATCTGCCCAAGATGAAATGGTGTATTTAAAATCAATTGTTTTGTGTTGGTGAGGATACAAATTTGGGGGCAAACTGTAAGGCACAAAATTTTTCCAGAAATGGCTGCTCAGGATCTAAAACCTCAAAATAAATTAGATCAGGAAAGAGGATCTGGCGGAGTCTGCCCCGACCTGAGAAGTGGCCGCGACGGCAAAGGCCCCCGGAGCCGAAAAACTGAAAAGCTGATACCGGGATAAGCGACAATCCAGTCCACGCGGACGCACTGTTCCTTAAGCGTCCCAAGACCGGCATTCTTCCCCGGACTTTGTTCTCTACTGGGGCCTCCTACTTCCCAAAGAAGATATTTTTCTGCCCTAAATCTCTAGAACCCGAATTCCCTAAACGTAGAGTAAGAACAAGAGGGAGGGAAAGGAATGCCCTGCCGATCGTATCTGTAAGCTCCAAGTTCCTCCACTACGGCGCTAGGCCCCCGCATGCCCCTTGAGCAAATCTCTTCCCAAATGGCGCCAGGCTACTTGGTAATGGGTTTACTCGAACAGACACTTTCAGCTTCCCAGTCGGGGTCGGCCCGAGGGCGGCCATGACAGCCCCTCCCGGAAGCGAGCACCCAGCCCCGCGCGCCAACGGCCGACCCACCCCTTGCGCACGCGCTGTAGGGTCCAACGGCCAGCCCAGAGCGCGCCACACTCCCCAACCGCCCTGCCGGACCTCGTCTCGCGCTCTCTCCTCTCGCTCTTCCCCTAAACCCCCGCCATCTGCCCTCGCCTGCTCGTCTTCAAGTCAAAGATCTTAGCATCACCGTCCCGCGCCTGGGACCCGCCGCTTACCTGGTTCCCCTCTAGTCCTCGCGTGCTGAAAAGAAGAGCCGCCCAACTCTAGTTCACCGCCGCGCGCTGCGTTACAACCAGCCACGCTTCTGCCTCCTGCTTCCAATTGCGGCTCTGCTCACTGGACCGCTGCCTTTTCATTCAAGGGAGGCGGAAGTGGTGATTGGATTGTTCGGGAGGCTTCGAGACGCTATTGGTGGAGAGGGGAAAGAGGGCGTGCCTTACGCTTTGGGTTTATTGGTTAATCTAAAAGTAGGCATTTAGGAGTGAGCTGACGTACGCCAGTTGCGTGTTGTCACGTGACTAAGACTTAGTCACCGCCGCCATTAAGGCTTGGGTGGGCGCCGCCATGTTTAGTACTGGCAGCTGAAGACCAGATGATTGGCTCGCGACGTGTGCCCCACCCTTTCGAAGCATGGATTCCGCGCTAGCTGCTGAACCCAGAGCTTTCCGAGTTGCCTACGATCCACTGTTAGGGGGGATCATTCATTGTGGAGGCTTTAGAGGGGTCTGAGAAAGATTGGGAGCTCGGAATGATTCGAGTGGAATTTTGTGCTGTTTAGATTTCTGTCACTATAGATTAGTTTTGTCTGTCTTTGAATTTCATATAAATGGGAACATGGAATAGATTGTCTCCTGTATCTGACTTCTTTTGCTCGACAAAGTGTCCATGCTCTCAAACATGAGATTTGTCCATGTTTCCAGACTTAACGTGTTTTATTGCTGATTGTGTGGCTATACTACAGTACAGCCCGTCGGTATGGTTTTACTTACTCTTCCGTTGATGGCTGAGTGATTGTTTCCAATCTTTGGCCATTGTTAGTAAAGCTTGTACTGTACAAGTATTTTTGTGAACGTATGTTTTAATTTCCCTAGAGTAAATACCTAAGATTAGAATAGTAGGCCATAGGTCATGAGCTTGACAGATTTCCTAAAGGGTTATTCCATTTTACACTCCTCCCCTCCCTATTTTTGTTGAGACAGAGTCTCACTTATGTCGCCTTCAGTAGAGTGCGTGGTGTCCCAGCTGACAGCAACTGGGACTACAGGCGGCCGCCACAATGCCCCGCTATTGTTTGTTGCAGTTGTCATTGTTTAGCTGGACCCGGCTGGGTTTGAACCCGCCCCACCCTCGGTGTATGTGGCTAGCGCTGTAATCTCTGTGCTACGGGTGCTGAGCCTCCCCTCCACACCCCCACCATTTTTAAAGACAGGGTCTCGCCTCGGCGCCTGTGGCTTAAGTGGTTAAGGCTCCAGCCACATACACCTAAGGTGGCGGGTTTGAATCCAGCCTGGCCCGCCAAACAACAATGCTGCCTGCAACCAAAAAATAGCTGGACATTGTGGCGGGTGCCTGTGGTCCCAGCTACTTGGGAGACTGAGGCAGGAGACTCACTTGAGCCCAGGAGTTGGAGGTTGCTGTGAGCTGTGATGCCAAGGCATTCTACCCAGGGGGACAGCTTGAGGCTCTGTCTCAAAAAATAAATAAATAAATAAATAAATAAAGACAGGGTCTCGCTCCATCACCAAAGCTGGGTTTAAGTGATCCTCCCGCTTCAGCCTCCAGAGTAGGTAGGATTATAGGTGCATGCCACCATACCCAGCCTCTTCTTTTTTAAGAGATGGGGTCTCACTGTGTTGCCCAGGCTGGCCTCAAACTCAGGGCCTCAAGCAATAATCATCTCACTTTGGTGTCCCAAAGTGCTGCGATTACAGGTATGTGAGCCACCACCCCTGGCCACTTGATATTTCTGACCAGCACCTTGTGAAAGCAGTTACTCCCAATGCTTGCTCACAGCTGGTATTGTCAGTCTTCTCAGCTATTTATTGATTTGGGGGTAGGAAGTAAAGCAGGTTAAACCAAGATTCCAGTCTCCCTAAGCCCCTGGGTACCTGGTTCAGTTTTCCAAAGAGGTTCTAACATTTCTTTCTTTCTTTTTTTTTTTTTTTTTT